AATTAAATCGTGGAAGGTACCTTCCATGATTAAATTTTCATAATACATACTGTCAACGTTCTTCTCCAAATTTCCTTGCATTCGTTTTCTTTCGTCACTGTCATAGTCGACCCCAAGACGGTTTCATAGTCGACTGCTTGAAGAGCGAGAAATTCAACGAAATTAAATTTGTGGACGATCGTAAATGGAATGCGTGTAACTTGTACCTCGGACTACTAATACTTGTATTACTAGTCTGAGCTTGTACTGAATGCAAGAAACTGTTTATATTTGCTATGGGTGGTGACTAGTATGCAAATTATCTGTCTATTATGTCTTTGGCTGATTAATTAAAACATAGCTTTCAAAACAATGACATGTGCTTTTGTTTTTAATTAACAAAAATTGATTTTTACACCCTATAAAAACATCCAATTCACTTTTTTTCCTACTGAGTGTTTGCTTTTTGTAGTCCAGCATTGAAAAATACAAAAAAGTAGAATTTTGGGTTTCAAAGCCAAAAAAGGTGTACAGCATCCTTAATGTATTTAACCATTTCACCACCAGTTCCTACTTTTCATCACGAAATATTCCTGTTTATAGCAATTTTTCTCTAAAGTATGAGACAATGATTACAATATTTTTTACTAAAAACTGAAAATTGACTCAAATTTTGTCTATTGGTTGCAAAATTAGGGTTCATCATTTGTACATTGTCATCTTTGATATGGGTCATACATGTGTCAGTATCATTTGTACATTATCATCTTTGATATGGGTTATACATGTGTCAGTATCATTTGTACATTATCATCTTTGATATGGGTCATACATGTGTCAGTATCATTTGTACATTATCATCTTTGATATGGGTTATACATGTGTCAGTATCATTTGTACATTATCATCTTTGATATGGGTTATACATGTGTCAGTATCATTTGTACATTATCATCTTTGATATGGGTCATACATGTGACTTATAAACATAAAATGTACAACTACATGATGACTGAGATACTTTACGCTAGCAATCAATGAATAGATGTAATATTTGTAATAATTTAATATTTATTATTCACTTATTAGGTATGCTTCATCATTGACTGATATTGTAGATTCCATGGAGAGAGCCACTGTACAGGACTTGGATAATCAGGATACTTACCGACCATATCTGGCAAAGACGCCTGATTTGTTTGCCTCCAGTAATGGTGCTGCTAATTATAGTAATCATGATGATTCCCATATTCTAGAAGAAGTCTTCTTTCTCAAATAATTGTAAATAATTTTACTAATTTATTACATTAATCATGTCCTAGGTCTCTTGAATCCTTTGTCACCAACTAAACTTACATGATTGTTTCCACCATTTATCCATAACTTTCTTTTTAGTCAAAACCTGTTTTCAATGGGAAATTATGTTCATTTAGTTCAATAAAAACAAAGAAATATAGAAAAGTACATCAAAATATCACATCAAACTTTTGATGGGAAAATTTGGCCATTTAAATGTGTTATACACACAATGATTTAAAACTTTGATTTATTTTCAAAACCCTGTCATGAAAGCAGTATATGTTATATTCAGTTTGACAATCAATTATCTCATTATTGTTGTATTGTTTCTAGTGTATCCTGCTGTACTGTTTTTTAATGATCATTTTTTTTTTAATTAATATTTACAACAACATAAGCTATGCAATGTTCGTAAACAATCGATACTTAAAGTGGAGGGGTCGTCACCTGCGCGGGAATTGAATCCCAAGTGATGATAACAGCGCAAAGGCTCATGGGTAGACGCTTGTTTGTAAACAAAGACATGCTATGGCATGTGCTGGATTACGACTCCCTCGCTTTAACAAATTTTTTTTTTACTTATCATATTTACTCTATTAATACTGCATGCACTTATGTAAATGACAGAGATGTTTCTATGGTTACAACAAGTTGTATTATGATAATCAGTATACAATAAATGTAATGTACACTTACAGAAGCATTCTAATATAGCAAATATGGTTACCATGTGCAGAAGTTGAGAATGCTAAAAACAGGAGTGTCAACTCTATTGCTGCTACATTATAATTTTATTTTTTTTATAATTTGTGTAAAACTGACAAAATAAAGAATGAGTAAATATCAGGTCACATGACATGTACTTTAATAATAATATACAGATAACAAGAAATTTATTTCAAACAAAAAATTATCAAAGTGTGTTTTTATACTGTTATACACCTCAGTATTCACTTTAATGTTTTCATTGGTGCAATTGAAACTAAAAGAAAGATTCCTTTCTTGTCATGTGCATAAGTCTTTTTTAGTTGGGTGCAAAATAATATTTTCACAAATGTGCATCATAGAAAATATTTTAGCATTACATGACAATAAACACATTTTTTTGGGTCTAATATATAAACAGAATTGATACAACATGGTCTTTTAATTTTAAATTTATTATTTTTTTTATAACTGTCAAGTAAATAAATCCTGAAAAGATCTAAACATATTTACTAGGACATGTTATTCTTTTCAAAAACAGCAAATGTAATTATAAAATGATACTACTCTACTCTGATAAGTGAGTAAACTAAAGGTAACATTGTAGGTGACAATTGCATATATTCTGAACGATTTCTACAACTCTGGTTATTCTATAAACCATTCAATTTTCACTGCTAGAAATGTTCAGGATTTCAGGATATTATGGCATTTGTGAAACATTTCACGTAAGTTACTGACGCTCTGTATCAAAGGAACAAAAACTGCTACAAAATTTCTAGACTATGTGAAAATTTATCTTGTGAAATTACCATGGTTTACAATACATTTTTAGATTCCCTACAAATTGTTAACTCATACATTTGTTTCTCGCTTCCTTCAATGTCCTATTTTAATATCCATATTTAAGATTTATTTTTACCGTGAATGTTTATTATGATCCAAACTATCAAGATTTGTATTTTGTAAGTTACCAAACTGAAATATTTTGTACATTATATTTTACTTACCTATATTACCCAGGTGTTACTTTGATTTAAATTGAAGGTGTAAATTTAACCACTCATCCCTGTACTGTGTAATTTATAATGAACAGTTGAGTGGTGTACTAAATTGTACTGTAATGTTAGTTATTTATGGTGGTCATTCCTGTATTTATGTATAATATGAAAGTTTAGACAGTATAACTTGAGTGTGGACATCTACATTTGTATATATAAGAATATTATAACCATAAACATGTTATCTACTCATACACGGTAGAATGCTACTCAATAGTAAGAATATTGCAATTTTTGTTATATTTGACATTTCATATCACAATGATGAAGAAAATAATGGGGTCACTGTACCCTATAGAATGAAAATGTCATGTTTTAGTGCATTTATAGTTTTTTTCCTACACTGTATGACAAGGATATAATCCATTTCTCAAAATGTTGGTTGTCGACATATTGTGAAAAAATGGTCTATAGTGGTTACAATGTACTTGTCGTGGTTTTACTGTGGAAACCACTGCTAAATTGTCAATGTTATTTACCAGTTTTTTCTCATAAAATACATTGTCTGTGATTTTATAAACTCTTCATACTGTTGACAGATTTCAAATAAGAATATTGTCACTGTTATATGCACTAAATTATGCACGCATCTTAAGTAGCATTCTACCTTTATATTCTCAAAAAATGCTGTAATTGCTTTTTCGTAAAAAATATTCAAAAAAATAAATTTTTAATTCATTTATTTTCAAAAAATAATTTATTGTTATGAAACATTCCATGCACCTATGCGTTTTGATGTTCCTGTCATAAGCCTATTAGTTTGCTCATGTATTCAACAATGTTATAACCATTTTATTTTTGTGACAAATTTTGTCTTTGTGAATGCCGTCATATCACGAAAATTCCTTGCAGCAAAAATGGTTTAAATGGTAAATCAGTAAATCTGATGGCAGTGATTCTTGCCACTATGTCAGCATTATTCACTCCAAACTTCTTGAATGAATAAATTAGTAATTCATCAATTACAACAGTAAAGGACATGGTGCATGGTGTGTTGGTGCATTTTTATTGTCTTGTCGATGGAAATACATCTTCACCAGTAAAAGGTGTTTGTAAATGTGTCTGTAAAGCACAGCCATGATAACAAATTCGATTACAGCTATGACATTAAAAATAGAATATATTATTATATTGTCATGTATTTTTACTCAATATTATAGACCAGATACTGTATTACATTGTATTATTTCATTTTGTAACATTTACTTGTAAGCATTTATTTTGTATTCAAGGTAACCAGACGAGGTGAGATAATGTATAGCGCCCTCAACATTTGATTCCCACAATAGCCTTGCTTTTATCAGTTTATAATACAGATCAGTGTAAATGTTGTGAATATATTTTGAATATTAAAATCATGTTGAATTTATATTTTTGTGTTTATTATTATTTATCTGTTTACATTATGAAGTACATCTCAGTTTGCCAAATTTGGAAGATTGAATGCTGTGATTTGTAGAGATGATGACTCAATAATTATTGAATGTAAAACCACATGTACAAGTAACCATAGACTGGCAAAGTCAGGACTTTTTTTTTTTTACAACAAGAAATAATTGTTTTAAGTCCTTTCAGTGTGATCGCAAAAACTAACGTGAAATCCCAGGATTTCCTTCGCGGCCACGCTAGTTTTCGCGATCATGCTAAAATGGCTAAATTGACAATTATTTTTTTTGTAAAACAAAATAGAAGTCACGATCATTGTATTGTCATGCCACCAATGAGCCACAAGATTTATTAAATAGTGTGTAATAATGCAACAATATATGAATAACAATGATAGTGATGACTGTAACATAACTGAACAATTTTATTATGATTCCAAAAACTGAATAAAAACTGACATACTGTCATCTGTAATGTTTAGACACATTCAACTTGTCAAAAATCAGCGAAAAAAATTTCCATACAAATTTCCATATGAATAACAATGATAGTGATGACTGTAACATAACTGAACAATTTTATTATGATTCCAAAAACTGACATACTGTCATCTGTAATGTTTAGACACATATGCCAATACAGTTGTGCATGCTGCCAAGGTATGACATATCTTATTATGTATAAACATAGAAAATGTTTGGTTGTATCATACTTACACACTGTATTCAGGTGTTGTATATCAACACCATGCAATTGGAAACATTTTGTTTCTCAGAAAATCAAAAAAAATCCAGCAGCCATGATGCTTGTATTTTCAGTAATACTTATATATGAGAAAAACAAAGTCTCAACTTTCTGATTTTAACATCTGTGAAAATCGAATTAGAAACTAACATGTGTATTGGGTGCTGGGTTTACAGCATGTCCAGTGTGGTTGATTCGACTTTATTTTAATTACTGTGATGATTTGGTTTGAATCATTTAAAAAAACACTCAAATATTTCTACATTTTTGACTTGTTATTTTTGTTAAAGCGAGGGAGTATTCACCTGCACATGCTTCAGATGGCCTTAGCATGTCAATGTTTACAAACAATCGTCTATCCATGAGTCTTTGCGTTTTTAGAGTGTGTTATTATCATTGCTTGGGACTAAATTCTCGCTCGTGCTCTGGTGACGACCCTCCCGCCTTAAAATGAATAAATAGATTCCTTATTTGCAGTATTGGAATTAATGTGGTCCGAAGCTGTGTACATTGTGAGAAACGTATTATTATAAATATCAATACTGTTTATCACGTCTGAATGCTTGCGACAGTTTAGCTATTAGAGTGTGTTTTTGGATTTACTTCACTAATGCTTTTAAGAGCGCCCCAGTATGCATAGAATCACACAGATTCGCTTTTGTTCCAAATTACTGATTCAAAACAAGGTAAAATCCTTGCGAATCCTTGTTTGTTCTCATAATGGCCACAATGGAGCTATAAAAGTACACATTATCTATGGAGACTTTGGACTTGTGAATAAATTTGACCTTTGACCCTAAACGCTTGTACTATTATTTGTAATTTGTCTTCTTAACTATCTATCTGCATTCAAAACCTTGATTTTGTGTGATATGCAAAGCTGCATAATTTTGAAATAAATTCAATTTAAAAGAACTTTTAATTTTTCCACCATCATTATTATCTTCACTATATAAGCTTACATTTTGATATCTTGAATAATTGACATGATAGAGAGTTACATACTAGTAACATACAATAGTCCTGGTGTCTGCACCCAGACTGTGCAATCTACAATATATGACAAACACATAACATATTTTCCACTTTATTTCATCACACCAAATCATAGATAAAATACAAATAAATATTTCACAGTATACAATGTTATAACATTTTGATCAAGTTGTAATTATAAAGAACATGAACAATATCACCGCCTTTTGTGAGCGCCCTCTATAGACAAATTTATGAAAATATATTCCACCCTCCATCCTAGATTCTTCTCAGCATTGCAACTAGGGGTGTACCATTATTTCTGACGGGGTGGAATTGGTTTTCAGAGAGACTTAATCTTTTCGTTTACCTGGGCATTTTTGCCCCAGTGAAGCTAGTTTGTGGATCCACTGACCCCTTCATGAATATTTTCAGATTTAGTACCCTTACCACCCCAACAACAAAAAATGGTTCAAACCTACAAACGTACACATTCGGCCTGTAGAGGGCACACACACGACTGGATATGTATATAATTGACATTGATTAATTGATAATAAATATAATATTTTTCAATTACCCTTTAGAACATACTATTAAACGGTGTTGAAAATAAATTTCTCTCAAAAGTACTGAGAAAAATGATTTCCGTAATTTCTGTTTTTTACAATCAAGCAGACATTAAGTTATTACTTCGATATTCCAAATATAAAATACAGTACTGTTTTAGCAGAAAGCCATTAATGCAGTCCTGCGTAGATGTCTATAACGCTGCCAAATATGAACAATGAAATTATTATCACGTGACCTTTCGGTATCCGGAGCACATTAAGATACGTGTTTGATTAGTTTTTGATATTTTATAAGTTCAGAATCACTTCTAATGTTCCTAAGATTGAAACTATGCGTGATTAACTACTGCTTTGTTTTATATTTTCTACCAGGATTGCGATACAAGAGGTTTGTGGTGCCCACATTTACTCTGATTTGGCGTAGGGTGACGGTGGGGAGCCGATGTCCCGCCGGAGTGCTTCCAACTTAGGGTCTGGCTTGTATATTTGCTTTAGTGTTAAGAGCTGTAAATCAAAATAAAACACATTTGTTTGACATTATCTGTTATCCATATATGGTGTTATCTGTGGGGCTGAAAACAATTTTAAAAGTCAGCCAAATTCCTGCTCACCAAAATCCGATAAGGTACCCTTGCCGAGTACGATATCGGGTTGCTCTCCATTTACGACAAGGAATTCTCATTTGATTCTGTAAGCAAAATTTTACTGTAAACGCAGATCGACATCTTGTCGGTTAGTGATTTTTGTTTTTCCGGTGGCTTCATACATAGAAGAACGGTTAGGAAACTCCCTCGGTTCTTTAGTTAGAATGCCGGTCTCGATAAACATTTAAAACAAACATTTAATACTGCCGACCGTTGCAGCGATCGAAATTTGCATAACATTACATACTAGTATTCGTTCGAATCGATTCTATCGATTGGGATTTTCTGTAATCTTTTTTTTTTTCTAACAAATTTTCCCGATTTATGCAGCATTGTTGGGATTTGGTATGAATAATAACAATGAAATGGAAAAACAATATTATGTATTCAAATTAAAACCCCAATATGAAACCATAGAAATTCCTGTGTCACTTAATCTGCCACTGACAATGGCCAGGAAAAAAACAACAAGACGGCCGACATTACTATGTTGGAGAAAAATTTCTGCAAACTTCGAAAAAATGCTACTTCTAGTAACCGAGATATAAGCACACTGGCAGTCGGACAGCATGATAGCATGCATACTTGTTTATTTTCAAGCGTTCGATTTTACATGAAAATATTTTGAAACAAAACTTTACCTTTTGTGGGCTTGACGGATTTATTTCATAATATGGGAACGGATTCGCCCTTTTTCGAAAACTATGGTAAATAAAAAAGAAAATATGATATTATATGATTAGGTTGCAAAGATCAACATAGTACAGGTGGTTATTTGAAAGTGCTCCCTCTTTCACTTCAGGGTATATATTCGCTTGTTTTTCAGATTTGTATGAACATGTATTCCTAAAACATGGAAACGAAGTGACTGTTCACTTACACTACGTCGGTTTTCTGGTACGCTGCGTATGAAATGGCTGATACTGCCAACACGCCGACAAACGATATAATTCCCACCAATGGGGTCAGCTGAAAACACAGAAACGGACATATGTCAGATATATGGATGTGTTTTTATGGAACAATTTAACAGAGAACAGGCATAGGTATGGTCACAGTCCCTCTGACTGTGGTATGGTATAAGTACTTAATTGCATGTCAAAGGCCACAGTGTAGAACTCAGTGAATAATAAAGCCCTATACAGTATATGAATTCAGTTATCTTTGTATATTTCGTATATTTCAATTCTGAAACTAGCATATAATATAAGATCCTAGGAAAAGCTCCAATTTACATGTAGTTGCTTGTCGTGATTAAAAACAACCTGGACTTGTATTAACTCTAAATCGCGAAATGAACACCCTCACAACCCAAAGAGTTGATTGCTTTAATTCTGTACTATGATATGTACATTTAAAACGACGGTGTCGTCAGCTGCGCATGCGACATACGACCATAGCGTGTCGTTGTCTACAGGCAAGCGTCTACCCATGAGCCTTTGCCTTTTTTAACCATGCGTTGTTATCGTCGATGGGGGACTCATTTTCCGCGCATGTACAGGTGACGCCTGAAAAATTAAAAAATGTCGAACATTGTATTTATATAATTAGGGCAAATTAGGTCATCGTCTCCATGATGTCACCCACACATGTCATCATCTATCAGCATTGTGTTAACTGAATACGCTAAACGGAAAACTGATATTATGGAAAATTAAAATATGAAATATACCTGGAATTCATTTAATGAACCGACATTGAGGTGTTTTTCCGACAAATTTGCTCCCGCCCACTCCCACAAGCTCGTTAATCTCGGTCACGTCGAGTAGCATTTTGTTATATGATATCTAACTCCACAAATTAATCCGGTTATAAATAATCACGTGCTCACATCTATAAATTGATTTTAATAAAATAAATCATAAAATACATGATTAATTTATTGATGTGTCAACACCAGAGTTGAAAAGATTACCTGGCGATTTATTATCAATATATCTTAAACCACAACAAAGGACCCCCCCCCCCAAAAAAAAAACCAGCTATTGTCACGTATGTTAGTGGGAAATAAGCTCATACTAGTACTCTTTCGTCTGCTTAGTCTGAGTATAAAAGTGACATCTATTCACATCAACACAATATAGTAGTACGTCTTGAAAGTTGTAGATGCTAGCTTTATGGCAAATCATTCCAAGTTTAATTAACGGATGTTGACCATGGTGGTTATTCCTAGTTCAATAACCCGTACTGAATACATGAAAGATGCACACAACCTGGCCTGGTACCAGTCTGTCGTGCAACCTTTCAGATTACAAACACTATCCTTATAACCTTATTACCAGTATCGGCTGATCGTAGGAATGATATACTGCTGTGTAGTTATTGTTTGCTTGGCAGATCAGATCAAGATATGACTTGTTTACGACCATTGAAACAAACGTACTTTGCCTAATCTGTTGTCACTGTACCTAAAACACTGTAAACAGTTTGTCTCTATTTATCTAATCGAGACGTCGAATATTTAAAATGTAATTCCGTTTATTTGGATACTTAAAAAACGTCATATTTTGTCAAATTGATGTAATTCGTATAAAAACAATTTATCTACTGTAATAAAATTGACATGGTTGTATGTGTCAGTATAGAGTGCACTGACCGATCAA